GCTCAAATGGTTTCCGGGAGCTTTTCGCAAGGGGTAACAATAGAGATTAAAACCACCGATCCCAAATAAACACTGGGAAACAAATCACAGGCCACATCACAAAAAAAACTTCAGGGCAAGTGGCGTTCACATGTGATCGATAAAAGGCAATCGATGGTCTATCAGAAGCCCTAAAAGTACGTTTTAGTACTCCTTGATGTCAACTAAGGAACCCATTGAAAAAGTAGACGCAGATAGGTGCCCTAGCGATTAAACGGAATGTGTACTTTGCGGTATGTAAGCGCAAGCGCGAGTCCAAGAAACTTCCAGCCCTGCATGTTCCCCATTACTTTGTCGTGGTAACCAACGCTGAAGGAAAACGTTGAGAAATTTTGTTAGAGGGGCTTTTGTAATTTACGCTAAGGGGGGGGGGGTGGGAAGGACAGAAAAGAGTCACTTTCCCTCCGTATTTAAGATGGCCTTAGCCACAAGTTGCTAAATGCATTTGTTGAAGGTAAAAACCTGCTGGGACAGTTGCTTCAATGGCAGATCAAACACGCCCTTCCGATTCTTTCACACCTCACGTTGAAAAACAAGTGCATGAAGGGTTTATTCAGTGTCAGCACGTCACATTCCTGAACCCTTAGTGAAACACAAAGCGACGAGCCTGTTATCAGTTGTTATCAATTCATCGTGATAATATAATACAACAAAAGCATGTGAGAAAGATTTTCATACTGCTGAAATATCAAGATCCCTCACAGCAAATTTGCGCCCGATGGTAAGTCGAATCGATCGTCCACAAAAATCTAAAAAAAAAACTTTGTCTGAGCGGAAAGGCGAATTTCGCAATTTCACTACTGCTAGTCCAACAAGCCTGCGATTGAAACCTTTGCCATGGGACAGAATCGCCATTTCGGTGGTGAACCGACTTGTTTCTTTTCCAAAGAAGCTTGCTTTGCTCGAAAGTGGGTACGCCTGAGAAAGCAATTCCTTGTTCTCGTAAAAGCAAAATACTGGTGGCAGGGAAAGTGGAAAAAGGATAGTTAGCATTTCGTTCACCTTGATTCCGTTGTCGGCGGTATCGCCTTCGATAAGCGGGTGGTTCCAGCACTTCGCACTTACCACCCTCAACTTTGCTCCCGGGAGTTTCATTTTGAGCTGGAAACTTCCGACTCAGGCACAATGGTTTGTTTTTCTCAGGGAAAGTAAGCCAAAGCTACCTTCGTCCTTCCTATGCGATAATCGTTTTTCGAGCAGAACGGAAACGTTGACCTCTTCTCCCTGTAATTGCGTCATATAGGCTTCACGAGTAACAGCCATTAGTGCATGGATAGAAGAAGAAAAGTTGTCTCACTAGGAGGCATTTATATAACAAAATAAATTGTGGTCGTCTTAACTCAGACGAACCACTATATTCCGTCAACCCCCAGAGGCTCATCAGTGAGTAGGGGTTGACGAAATGAAGGATTTATGTGAGAAAGCAGTATGAAAAACATTACATAAGCAAATGTAGTATATAAATATAACTGAGAAAGAAAAATTTTAGGTTATAACGTTTGTACAAAGTGTCAGAATTAGAAACATGGCTACCATATATACGTGAATATGATACCTGTTGCGTTCCATGATAAAATCAAAACAGCTGCGCTCGGCAAATGTACATCCCCATCCTTTACCGTACCACAGCGCTTCATGTTCCCATTGAATCGCCGAGCGATTCACGCGATACCACGGACTTCAAATGAATTTTATTTGTACATTTATTTCTCGGTATACGTAGAAATAAGCCTACATGAACAAGGACATATAAAAAGTGAACAGTCAATGACGGGCATGGATCCCTGCTCAAGTAAGTACTAACAAATGGAATGGAGAAAAAAAGTAGCATAATAAAGCAAAGTTTGAGAAAAAAACAAGGCTACGAACAAAAAAAAACAACGGCAATATCAGCAGAAGAACAAAATCGACCCAAAGCCATGAGTCGGGATTGGATCCCGTGAGCAATTCCCTCTCAAAGTGAGAAAGGGGTGAGCAATCGAAGGGAACGCGACGCTGTTGCAACTCAAAAATACGAGGCAAGGCGCTAACAAGGGAAGTCTTTCAGGACATGGAGCGCTTTTCGAAATGGTTTTCTGCATGTTGTAGGGGCTCATGCGAGGAACACAGAACCATGATCCATTTTTCCTGAACGCCTCCAGGAATGTCAAAACAGTGGTGAAGAAATGGTCCAGAGTTCGATCCCCGGTGATGACTAATTTTTGCAATATAGTTTGGCGCCCCAGATTGCCGCCAAATGGCGCCATCGTCGAGAATAGATGTCATTGTCGTGTTTTGCGGCAATTTGGAGGCGCCAACATAAATTGCAAAAATTTGTCATCACGGAGGATCGAACTTTGGACCATTTCTTCCCCGCTGTTTTGACATTCCTGGGGGCGTTCAGGAAAAATGGACCATGGTTCTGTGTTCCTCACATGAGCCTCTACAACATTCAGAAAATCATTTCGAAAAAAAAACGCTCCATGTCATGTAAGACCTTGCCTTGTGGGCTGCCGTGCTGCCACCTTTCAACCGCGGCATACGTGGTCTCTGCGTCCTCTCGCGTACGACGTACTATCTCGCGTTCTCCCTCTCCTCGCAGCGCTGTGTCTCTCCGTCGTACTACGGCCGGCCTCCTAAGGGAAATTTAGTGTTTTCTATGGTGCTTTTTGCTTTTTCTCCTCACTAATGTTCCTCATTGCACCCCTTGCCTAATTTTCAAACTAAAATAGCGCATCAATTCAATCCCTACCCTTGCCTTTGAAGATGCACGTGGATCCTTTGCAGGCAATAACTTTTCGGCCAAGTTTCCGCAAGAATCACTGATGATTTTCGGATTGCCATTGATCTTCGAAATGTTTCGTCTCCTCTGTCGCTCATTCGGTACACACTTCTATGCAATGTCTTGGCCGTACATTCGCGCATTCCCGCCCATTTTGAACCACCGTCAGGATTCGGAGCACACTTCTGTGCAATGTCTTGGCCGTACATTCGCGCATTCCCGCCCATTTTGGCATGTCTTGCCGTACATCGCGCATTTCCCGCCATTTGAACCACCGTCAGGATCGGAGCATTCTGTGCATGTCGTGGCGTTACATTCGCGCATTCCGCCCATTTTGAAACACCGTCAGGATTCGGAGCACACTTCTATGCAATGTCTTGGCCGTACATTCGCGCATTCCCGCCCATTTTGAACCACCGTCAGGTGCCTATTTTCGAAACGCCATTGATCTTCGAAATGTTTCGTCTCTCTGTCGCTCATTCGGTAGTTTCGTCTCCTCTGTCACTTCGGTACACATTTCTATGCAATGTCTTGGCCGTACATTCGCGCATTCCCGCCCATTTTGAACCACCGTCAGGATTCGGAGCACACTTCTGTGCAATGTCTTGGCCGAACAATTGTGCATTCCGCAATTTGAACACGCAGGTGCCTATTTTCGAAACGCCATTGATCTTCGAAATGTTTGCTCTCTGTCGCTCTTCGTAGTTTCGTCTGTCTGTCATTCGGTACACACTTCTATGCAATGTCTTGGCCGTACATTCGCGCATTCCCGCCCATTTTGAACCACCGTCAGGTGCCTATTTTCGAAACGCCATTGATTTTCGAAATGTTTCGTCTCCTCTGTCGCTCATTCGGTACACACTTCTATGCAATGTCTTGGCCGTACATTCGCGCATTCCCGCCCATTTTGAATCACCGTCAGGTATTTTTTGGAAAGGAACGCCATTGATTTTCGAAATGTTTGTTTCCTTTATAGCTCATTTGGTGCGCACTTCTTATGCAATGTCTTGGCCGTACATTCGCGCATTCCCGCCCATTTTGAATCACCGTCAGGTGCCTATTTTTGAAAACGCCATTGATTTTCGAAATGTTTGTTTCCTTTATAGCTCATTTGGAGCACACTTCTTATGCAATGTCTTGGCCGTACATTCGCGCATTCCCGCCCATTTTGAATCCACCGTCAGGTGCCTATTTTTGAAACGCCATTGATTTTCGAAATGTTTGTCTCCTTTATAGCTCATTCGGTACACACTTCTATGCAATGTCTTGGCCGTACATTCGCGCATTCCCGCCCATTTTGAACCACCGTCAGGTGCCTATTTTGAAACGCCATTGATTTTCGAAATGTTTGTTTCCTTTATAGCTCATTCGGAGCACACTTCTATGCAATGTCTTGGCCGTACATTCGCGCATTCCCGCCCATTTTGAATCACCGTCAGGTGCCTATTTTTGAAACGCCATTGATTTTCGAAATGTTTTGTCTCCTTTGTAGGCTCATTCGGAACACAGTTCTGTGCAATGTCTTTTTTCGCTGACTTGAATTCTTTGGAGTTCACGTCGTTAAATAAAGTGATTACGTGGATAGTGTAGGTGTTTGAGGTGACGAAAAATGCTCACCGGTCCGAGAAATGTTCCTTCGAGAATAGCCGCACTGATGTACGAGAATCGATTTGAAACATTCGACAGGGTTTGCGTCATGAGCTCATTCTGACAACAAGAAAACATGATAGGAGTGTGAGCAGGTGCCCTTTTCAAGTGCTTGGGCAGAGTAATCGGCAAAATGTTGAATGGGCGTCAAATTCGCTCTACGTAGACTCAATCTCTTGCTTCTCACGAAAACTTTCTGAAATGAGAGTATGCTCATGGTTTTGAACAAATTGTCATTTTGAACTTTGCTAAATGTTTGAAAATGTGAGAAATCGACGCGACCGTACTCTCATAGCGCTCAGCAGGAGTTTGATGATTGCACTTCGCAAAACAGAAGGGCGAGCTACTTGAAATCAGTGTCTGTCAGTAGCAGCATACTGAAGCAACATGTCGCGAGAGAATCGAATAAAGAAGTCTACAGTAAAAACTTCAAAGGTCCGTGAATGGCAGATGCTCCAGTAATTTTGTCCCACCGTGACTATTCAACATTGTAGAGTAGTACAATGCGGTCTTTCTCTCTCCCCCCCCCCCCTGCTCCGAGCTCCAGTCTCACCAACCAGGACAAATCACTTACTCCATAAACGTATTCGTTCAAATGTATTTTGTCTGCAGAGTCCGTTTCAACTCCAACTAGAGTTGGACATTCCAAGTACCTTCTTGCTTCTTTCTGAAACATTCGATTACAAGCTCAATATTTGATCTATCGAAATGTTCGGGTTATAAAGCATTGAAGCAAATTTGCTCAGTGATCTAACAACAGCCTCCTTTTCGAAATCAAGGAAACGTCGCTTTGCTGGTTGACTGGAAGAGCGGTCCCAATTGTCTGTCCATTCATATCTAACAGTTGGCGGACTCTCTTGTGAAGGTGAAGTCGGATTCAAAGTTCCAAATCCCTAAACAGTTACCTTTTGCTTTACAAAAAGAACAGGGTACGTAAGGATGCTAATGCTCGAGCAAATATCAATCTTATAGACAGGATTGAGCTTACCAGGGTGTGGAGCAGCTCATGGCGAAAGAGGTCTACACCGGCATGAAAATTTTTCCATCGTTTGCCGGGGCAAATATTTACTACACCGAAGAGGGGCCTAAATATTAATGTTTTTTTTTCAAAGTCCAGTCCTCTCTAACATCAGTGGCGTGAACTAACAAGAAGTAACTGAGGAAGAATAGAAAATTATCAAATTTTAAAGGACGAATTCACGCTGGAAAGGCAACCCATTTCAAATTAACCTAGGATGGTGAGTGGTACACGAAAGAAGGAAGAACCATGAGAAACGGCCCAGAACCCGAGAAATGGGACCCCTTCCTTGCCCGTTGATTTCGAGCATTGATGCGACTCTCATCGCTGTGCCCTCTTCAACACTACGCTCTCTCACCTATCTAATCACTCGCCACGTATTGAACTACGGCGAGTGATCAGATCAGATGATCTGTCGGGCGTGCACTGACCCACGGCGCCAAGAATTGAGCCTTAATAGGTCGCCGAGGTCAACTCCTTCGGTGCCAATTGCGCTTCAGTCCGCACCCTTAGGAGGTCCGCGGGTCCCTCAACTAGGTGAATTACTCCTTCTTCGTCCTTCATTCTAATCGTGAATTCGTCCTTTAAGTTTATTTACAACATTGTCGAGGTAGCTGCAACCCAGCCCAACCACTGCAAATATTTTGACTTCAACTGCGGAGATTGCGAGAAGAGGGAGACTCACTAGAATTCAATGTAGATTTGGTCAGTGTCAGGGTCAAAGATATAGAAAAATCCATCAGAAGCGGACCATAACGCGAGAAATAGGAATCCTTCTTTGCCAGTTAATTCGCGAATTGATGCGACTCTCATCGCCCTCTTCAGCGCTATGCTCTCCTCTGCATAGACGAGTTCTCTTTCTGCTCGGTGCCGATCAACGCCGACCCCTACCCATCGACAGCTTAGGGGTGGCGGGGTGCGCACGCACAGGTAAGCGCTCAGGAGCCGTTACGGGACCTTCTCCGCTGCTAAACGCGCATCGTCCCGAACCCTTAGAGAGCCCGCCTGCTTTTCGACCATGTAGGTGTCAGGTTGTCGATGAGTACTGTCGTTTTTCTCCAAGAAGAAATTCTTTCTCTTAGAACCCGTTTTTCGCTCCATGTTGCACACTATTCAGACCATAACTGCCTTCTCTAGCCAAACCGGCAACTAATTCTGACTTTGTCTTCTACAGGAGAAATCGACCAATGAAGTACTTAGTCATGGCCTATTCTGTGCATACCTCTATCCGTTAATCCAAAAAGGCTTTTCTTGGTTCTTTTCACAGTGGTTTTTCTGGCTGACTGATAAGAGCAGGCGGTTCACTGAATTCAAATCACCCTCTGGACACTTGTTTCCTCAGGCTTAGTCATAACGTATTTTAAACATCTCATGGTTATTGAACATCCTCCGGGTCTGAATTCTACGAGATAATGGGTTCTGGTGGAATGAACCAAATTCGAAAAAAGCCGCGGCAAGGATTTTTACCCACGTAATAGTGGAATGTTCAAAGGAGCTTGTGGTCAAATAAGTGGCACATATTGGTCAATTTCTCCGAAAAACGGAGTCAGAGCTACATAGTTGTTCGGCTTGGTCAATTTTCATCACTATGACCTCCTGAATTATAAGCTTGTCCTTCAACCAGTAACCAATGTAGAAAATAATAAGAAGCCCTTTGTAGAGCAGACACTTGTGCTTCGAATGATTTATAACGTTATGCAAAAACATGGAATCTCAGAGGGAAAATTTCCATTCCATTCCAACTTTGGATAATTTCCCGTGTTTTTTTTTACCTCCGACCTTATTGTGGACCAGTTGGCGCAGCACGCGTTGCGCGCGCAACACAGTTCTGCGGCGATATGGGATGGTGCGGCGTAAATTTTCAAATTTGGCCCGATACACTACGAATATTTGACTTCTGAGCTAGGTTCTATCCGCTCCATAACCAATAGCTTTGAACCTCTCCTTCTTCGCAACCATTATCCGCTTTTTCCGGTCTCCGGACTGCCTCTAGACCGATTTATAAATCTCGTGAACTCAGCCTATTTCGGTGCATGTCTCACCCATCTTTTTCTTCCTTGCCAATCTCTCCCACGTTTTCCCCGGTCTCTGAACTGTCCCTGAGCGATTTATATGCTTGGCGGCAAACCGCGCCCACTTTAGTGCAAACTCCACCCACCAATAAAAATTGACTTCCTTCCCTTCGCCGGCCTCTCCATTTTTTCCAGATCTCTAGAATTTTCTAGAAACACTATATTTTATAAGTCTGGCAACAAACTCCGCCCACCTTAGTGCTTACTCCACCCATGGATTTTCGTCGCAAACTCCGCCCACCAATGGAGTTTGACTTCTTTCCCTTGGCCAAACTTCATCCACTTTTTTCCGGTCTCCACACTGCTTCCGAACCGATTTTTAGGTTTGCGAGCAAGCTTCCGCCCACTTTAGTCATGGCCCGCCCACCGATGACAATTAGACCTCCACTCCTCCACCCACCTCTATCCACCTTTTTCCCGGTCACTAA